CTGGACTAATTCAAACTGGGAAGTCAGAAAAAGGTTCTATGAGGGGGTTGCATCTGAGCTAATTCCTACTTTTTAAAAAATATTTTTTTTATTGATTTCAGAGAGGAAGAGAGAGGGAGGAAGGGAGAATGAGAGAGAGAGAGAAACATCAATGTTGAGAGAGAATCATTGATCAACTGCCTCCTGCATGCCCCATGCTGGGGATTAAGCCTGCAATCCGGGCATGTGCCCTGATGGGAAATCAAACCATGACCACCTGGTTCAACCACTGAGCCAGGCCGGCGGGGCCCTCACTAATTTAAAGACCCTGGTACCGAGTCTTCTCAGCAGAGAACAGCAAATCCCAGTTGCAAACTGGGGTTGAGGAAAGTGTTTGGTAAGAAGCAGAAGCTGAGCAGGGTGGCCATGGCTCAAGCCTCCAACAGGAAGTTCGTTCTTTTGTGGATCCAAAAGCAGTCACCCCAGCTGGGCACAGGCAGAGAAACTGCAGCTGCCTGAGTTTATGGCCCCACCAGAGAGAGTATCCAGTGCTGTGGGATAGGAACCTAACAACCCCAGAGGGAAGACAGGTGAGACCCACTTGGACCCCAGCACCCCTGCCAGCCTTGAGGAGAGCTCCTGCAGTGATCTTGTCTAAGACAGTTTCTATTGACTCTTCCCTTCCCCCCCCCCCAAAAAAAACACCTTATCCGTAGGAGAGCACTTCATGTGGGAGCAGGAAAGTGGTGATAGAGAAGACCCTATGGGGAACTAACACTATTCACCAAAACAGGTTCCGTTTCCTGAACAGACTGCTGGCATCGTGCGCAGCATTGCACAGCATGCCCAGGCGTGGGGCCTGGGACTAACCCAGCCCAGGCTACTAAAGGTCACAGGAGGTCATTAGCCTAAGGTCACATGGCTAGGAAATGGTACAGTTGGGATTCAACTCAGATGCTTATGGTCTCAATCATTCTGCTATTTTGCCTCAGTTTGCTGTCTCGAAGAGAAGGGACCCTGGGCCCATAAACGTTTATTTTTTCAGACTCTCCCGAGAGTAGGACGCTCTGGGCTTCTCTGTGTGACACCCCCTCACTTGATCTTCGCAGTCAGATCTCACGAAGCAGCAGAACGGGTTCAAAATCACCCTGAAAACGCTGGAAGACAGCCTGCTGTCCCGCCTCTCCTCGGCCTCGGGGAACTTCCTGGAAGAGACGGCCTTGGTGGAGAACTTGGAGGTCACCAAGCAGACCGCCGCGGAAGTCGAGGAGAAGGTGAGAAACCACCCTGGCCGCCTGAGCTGGGGAGCAAAAGGCCCCTCCCAGGCCCTGCGTTCAACTTTTAGGTCAAAGAAGCCAGACTGACAGAGGGCTCTTCCGTCTCCCCAAGTTTCTCCTAGAAAAGCAAACTAAGGACTCCTGAAATGAGGGGCTCACTTTCTGTATTGTGGAGGTCCCACCTGCTGGGAAATGCTTTTGACAACTCCCTTCCACAAACGTTTGATGAGCAGTGAAGCCCGTGCAGGGCATTGCTGTCTGTGCAGGGGAGGGAGCTCAAACCTAACTCCTGGGTGAGTTTGCCCCGAAGGTGAGGGCTCTCACTGCTGTAAGAGTTGGCTGGTTCAGGCACGATTGCACTTTGAGGAAACAACAGCCTGCAAAAATCTCACATGTCTGACTTTAATGGGAGAACTTCATTGGTTCTCAGGAAACTCAGCTCTCAAAAGCAGCACCATCCTGCAAACAACTTAGGGCACAGCTTTCTCCCCTTCTTCCACAACATTTGGAAGGCTTTTGTTTTCCCTTGTGGGGGACTAGCAGACATGACTTCCGAGGGCCACGCTCCCCCGCCCAATCCCAGCAGGCTGCGAACCCACACAGTTCTTTCCTCATTTTCAGCTCTGCTCTTGGATCAGAAGAATATTTAAGATACTGGTCTGAGCACTAGCCAGTTTGGCTCAGTGGACCAAAGGGTCCCAGGTTCAATTCTGGTCAAGGGCATGTACCTCGGTTGCAGGCTCCTCCCCAGCCCAGGCCCTGTGCGCATGAAGGAGGCAACCAATCAGTGTGTTTCTCTCACATTGATATCTGTCTTTCCTTCTCTCATTCACTCTCTCTAAAAATCAATGGAAAAATATCCTCGGGTGAGGATTTAAAAAAAAAAAAAAAAAAAAAAAAGATACTGGTCTGAGTAGGTTAAGTGTGTCTATCAGTGTCCAGGAATAATATACCTTTGAAGGAATACATTTATTGTCAGATTATTGGGATTTCTCCAGATATAAAGCCTCTGTTCCAGGAAGAAACAAGGTAGGAAAATTAAGAATGCTCTTGCCCATGTGGCTGGTTGGGTGTAGTCCAATGCTCCAAAAGATTTCTGGTTCAGTTCCTGGTCAGGGTACGTGCCTGAGTTGTGGGCTTGATCCCCCAAAGGGACTGTGCAGAAGACAGATGATCCATGTTTCCCTCTCATATCGATCTTTCTCTCTCTTCCTCTTCCTCTCTCTCTAAATATCAACTGTTTTAAATCCTTTAAAAAAATGGATAGGACAGACAAACCAGCTCTTACCACTCTGGGATAATAGACAGCTGAGGCTTGAGTGAGAGACTGAAAGGAGGAAGGTCCAGCCTCACTAGCCTCTGTGACTGTGGTGTGACCCCATGTTTTGCCCGTGGTTCACTATGGCCTCCACATCTGTAGATAGGGGCAGGCAAAGTTTACAAAATACTTACAGCAGAAGTCCCACTGCCTGGGGCAGAAGAGATGAGAGGAAACTTTCCAACCCACTTTGAGGGAGTAGGTCAGAGGTGGAATTGACCATGTTGATATCTCTTCCTACCGCCTCATTCCTTCTTTCTGTTCTTCTTCTTAATTTTCAGACAGATGGAAGAATGACTCTTTTTTTAAATATATTTTTGTTGATTTCAGAGAGGAAGGGAGTGGGAGAGAGAAATAGAAACATCAGTGATGAGAGAATCATTGATTGGCTGCCTCCTGCATGACCCCTACTGGAGATCAAGCCCGCAACCTGGGCATGTACCCTTGACTGGAATTGAACCCGGGACCATTCAGTCCACAGGCCAACACTCTATCCACTGAGCCAAACCGGCTAGAGCTCATTCCTTCTTTCTTTACCCTCTTCTTCAAAGTCAGCGAACATTTATTGAGTTTCTGCTGTGCACGAAGTGTTTATAGAACCTTTTTTTCTCTTGCTATTTCATGTCTTGTTTGTCTTCTTTCTCTTTCTCATCCATTCATCCAATAAACACTTACTTGGAGGCTGTTCTATTCCAAATTCCATGACAAAAGTTGGGGGTACAACAATGAACGTGCCGGAAGCCCAGGCTTTCGGGACCTGGTCCTCTGAAGGAGAAAGACAAACAGGCAACTGCAAGGCTGTGATGAGGGCTGTGGCAGAGGAAGCACAGGGGGCCGTGAACACACAGGGAAAGCACTGAGCTCAGCCAGAGGGGAGGGCCATTTCTCCATAGTGTAAAGGACTTGAGGGACAGTAGAGGAGATAGAAGTAGTCACTGGATGAGGCATGAAATGCAGGCTGTGTTTCCATTGCAATAGACTTGGTCAACTATGCTAAGAAGTTTGGGCTTGAATGGGAGTTGGAGATCATAAAAGAGTGTTTTGTTTTTTCCTTTTTAGACAAGAGAGTAACATAGTCAGAACTGTGCTTTGGAAAGATCACTCCAGATACAGCCTGGAGAAGAGCTTGGGTACGCGGAAGCAGAGAAAGTAGTGCAGGGCACAGTGATTCCGTTGAGAGGTTGTATTAAGGTTGGCAGTTGTGGTGCGAAGAAGTGGTAAATTCAAGAGCTGTGGGCAAATTCGGAGATAGAATTGAAAAACTTGCTAATTTATCGGATATGGTTATACAGGGGTGGGCATAAGTGGCTTTACAGTTGTTCATATGGGAAATAATACAATAAGTAATGATTAATACAAGAATAAACTGTTTTTGCATACTTTCAACTACAAACCAACTTTTGCCCATTCTTACTCTTAAGATATATAGATATATTGCCGAAACCGATTTGGCTCGGCGGATAGAGCGTCAGCCTGCGGACTGAAAGGTCCCAGGTTCGATTCTGGTCAAGGGCATGTACCTTGGTTGCGGGCATATCCCCAGTAGGGGTTGTGCAAGAGGCAGCTGATCGAGGTCTCTTTCTCATCGATGTTTCTAACTCTCTATCCCTCTCTCTTCCTCTCTGTAAAAATCCAATAAAATATATTTATTTTAAAAAAGATATATAGATATAGGTGTAGTCAAGGAAATTGTTCAGGTTGCAGGAATAAACATCTAGAAAGGTATTGTTGCCTATGACTAAAAAAAGAGATTAGAAGTGGATTTGGGAATGAGAAGAAATTATGATTTTAGTTGTGTGTTGTGTTGAGTTTGCAATGCCTTTGAGCCATTCACATGGGAATGTCCCATGGATTTTTGGATATTTGATCTTGGGCTGGTGATAGAGTGCTGAGAATCATCAGCAGGTAGTTGGTCATTGAAATTTCAAAAGTGACTGAAGTCACCTAAGAGATGTGTGTGCAATCGAGATGGGCAGGCTACTCCCAGAACCCAGCATGTACCAGTCAAAAACTTCATTAATCTCCCCGTATATCTTACACTCTCCTTACAGCCAATTAGCAGCTAGACTGAAAGACAGTTCTGTCTGCAAGATTTACTCCCGTGAGCTCAAATTGTGTTCCCTTCACTCACATATATGCACTAGCAAGAAAGACTGCCCTTTGGTGATCCTCCCTCATTTAAATGCTAAAAATACCTCTGAGTGAAGAATTAACATGCTAATAAGACATGTGATGCATGAAGAAGCATGTAGTTCTACCACACAGGCAGGCACCAGAGAGTTCCGCCTCTCCATACTTAGACGTCATGCTTAGGCATCATCCTTCCAGCCCCCACTTCTTTTTTTTTTTATTTTTTTTTTATTTTTTTTTTTTTTAAGCTGCTTTATTAATTTACAATACATCATGAAAAGAATATTTAAAAAAAAAAAAACTGGGTGGAATTGCCTTGCTGGACAGAGAGTTTTATACTGAGACAAAAACATTATTCAATTAGAAACTAGTAAGAGGAAACATCAAAAGGTTTACAGAAAAGTAAATCACAAAACTACTAGCTTTTGTAGCAGAGACCACATTATTAACCTCAGTGAAAACCTTAGGATTTAAGGTATAAGGCAAAAGTCATAGTGATTATCAGGTTCAGGAATTTGGAAGCGTGTAACATGTCTCATTTGCTGCTCTCTAGTCTTTCTCCTGATTTCCATCCGCTGCACTGCCATCTTTTCTCTATTATCTCTCACTTCAATGTGATCGACATGCTCTTTAGATATGGCCCCACGAAAATTAGGGACAAGTCGCTTAACCCACCCCAGCCTGACATTTCCTCGAGGCTTCTGGGCTTCGCCTCCTCCCAAATGGCATGATTTCTCCTCATTTTGCACAGGGGCCTGGTCTCCTCCTTCGTTTTCCTGTTGGGCATCTTCCACGTTGAGATTTTTAGCCACTTGTTCCTCTCCGGACGCCATTGCTCCGGGCGCCGCTCGGGCCCCTCACGTGCTCCGCCGCCGCTGCCCCTGGGGCTGCCCGCCCTTGCCCTCGGGGCCGCGGAAGCTGCACCGGGAAGGGCGCGGGCCTCCGGGGTCGGGCGCTGGAGCGAGGCGCGCAGCCCCCACTTCTTTAAAACTATTTCCTGGCTTTTGTTTGAGGAGCAGCATTTCTCTTTTCCCTTTAATGTTGTTTCCCTTACTACACCATTTTTTTTCCCCTGCATACTACTCTCATGATGAACTCTCTTGATTTCTATCTCAGGATCTCCCAAGAACTCAGGATGGTTCAATAGTAAGATTTTTGCCTGACATGTTGGCGACCTGAGTTTGGTTCCTGGCCAATGCACCAGGGTTGAATCAGTTTCTGGTGACCTCTTTTGACTTTTATCCTGGGATGTCACAAGAACCCAGACATCAGTAGAACTGGAAGTAAAACATTGAGAAATACTGATATACTTTAAGAAAAGTAAAGATGTGAAGGATAGAGTGGAGCGGAGAGATGGAAGGAAAAGCAGGTAATAAGGTATCATGAAAAGAAGCATTTCAAGAGGAAGGGAAGTCCATTGGTGTTAAATAATGGCTGAGATGTGTCCACTGAATTTTGCAAAGAGGAGTTATCAATGAACATGGAGAGAATGGTTTCAGTGAAGCAGTGGAAGAGAAGCCTGCATTAGAATGAGAGCAAATGGGAGTTGAGAAAGGAGAAGTGAATATAGACAACACTTTAAAGTAGTCAGACTATGAAATAGTAAAGAGAGAAAGGTTGTACCCTAAAGAATAGATGGATCCTTCAAGGCATTCCCCTCTGACATGGGAGAGACTGAGCATGCTAAGATCTTAGCTGGGGGTGGGAAGATGCATGAATTGTAAAGGAAAAAGAGCAGTCGCCAATAAGAGCTGAATTAATGGGAATGGCAAGAAATAATTAATACAGTCGGGTACGTAAGAAAGTCAAGAGAAATATAATTTGGGTCATAGATAAAGAGCTTTATTTTTTATTTGAGTGTAATTGGCATATAATCTTACATTATTTACATTAGTTTCATGTGTATAATATAGGATTCAACATTTTATGCCTTACAATATGATCACCCCACCAATTCTAGTACTCATCATCTGTCACTGAGCAAGAGCTTATCTTCAGAAAGATAGTTAGTTCCAATGTGATAGGAGATACAGGGCAAGTATGAATCTAGAAATGGTTTGTGGGTTCCTATGGGCAGCTGGGGTAGGGGGACAGAAGATTAATGGAATGAAGGGAAAGTCTTAAAGGATCCATGTCCTCTTTAGGTTACAATCCTCACTCTCTTTACCATTTCATAGTCTGGCTACTTTAAAGAGTTGTCTATACTCACTTCTCCTTTTGCAACTCCCATGTGCTCTGCTGAGAGAGGGAATGGAGGTGAGGACTTGGGGAGAAGAGTGAAGGTTTACAATAGTTGTTGCAAGAAATGGAAATGAAATTTGACTAAAGACACACAGAATAATGGGCAGCATTAAAGACCCAGGTGAGCTTAAGCGTATGAATCTGTGATAACACCAATATGAGCAGTTGTGTGATTTCTGCTCACTTCCACTCCCTTCTGAGAATTTTTTGTTTTTTTTCTACTGAATGTAACCAATTTACATTTATTAACATTACAGATAGTTAAATATTTCCACCATCTTAATCTGTGTTTTCTATTAACCATGTTTTTTGTTCATTTTTTTCTCCTTTCTTCCTTTTCTTTATCCTCCTTTTTTATCCTTTGTTGATTTTATTTTATTTAATTGATTAACCTTGTTTCATTTATATATTAAAATATTTCATTATTTATGTGACTTGACAATAGACATTAATTTAACAAACTCTAAAATTAAGCAATATATTTAGCCTCTCCAAAAATAATGTAAATATTTTAGAACACTTTGATCATCCTCTCCCATCTTCTTTTTTTTTTATGTGTTATTGATTTTTTTACAGAGAGGAAGGGAGGATAGAGAGTTGGAAACAATGAGAGAGAAACATTGATCAGCTGCCTCCTGTACACCCCCTACTGGGGATGTGTCCACAACCAAGGTACATGTTCTTGACCAGAATTGAACCTGGGACCCTTCAGTCCGCAGGCTGATCCTCTGTCTACTGATCCAAACTGGTTAGCTCTCCCATCTTCTGTTGCTATTTTTATATTTTAATTCAACCAACTACTTTTTTGTGACTTTTTAATAAAAGTTTTTGTTATTTATATTAGACATATATTTAAGAAATGGTGCGTGAGGCTTGCACGGCCCACATTGCCCAGCCGGAAGGGCTGACACTCACCCCCTGAGAGATGGTTACTATGAGCTCCCTTAAGGAACACCACAGCAGCTTTCCAACCCGCAGCCACACTCCGGATTGCAATCTGTCCCACCCCACACACAGAGACACCGTGACTCGCACCCACTGCCTCTCAGGAAGCCCTGGTTGGCTGGAACAATAGGCCACCATTTCTTTCTCTCACAGGTCCAGGAGGCCAAGGTGACCGAAGTGAAAATCAACGAGGCCCGGGAGCACTACCGACCGGTGGCCGCCCGCGCCTCTCTGCTCTACTTCCTCATGAGCGACCTCAGCAGGATCCACCCCATGTACCAGTTCTCTCTCAAGGTGACTGGAGCCTGGAGTGTTTCACGTAATCATAACAAAGCAGCACAATGTGGCCAGTGCACTCCCCATGACAGCTTACCACGTGCTTTCTTTAGCCCTGGAAGGTCTGTAAGATCACACCCAGGAGAGCAGCTGCAGAGCCTGCACACCTGTAGTACCTCCTGTCTCTTTACCTGGGGCTTTCACAGCTCATGGGTTATCTGGCTGGAGCCGAAACAGAGCCACACCAAGTCTCGGCCTCACTCATTCAGTAAGCACACATGACACGGCAGGCGCTAACTCGCAGAATGTGTGGGAGAGGATGCAGAGACATGTTAGAAGTAATCTCCACCCCCAAAGAGCTTAAAATATCCTGTGTGCCGTGCACACCCATTAAAACCAAAGCAGGCAGTAATAACAGACCAACTTCAAATTACCTTTCTAACTACCTTCCTATCCCAAAGCTACTATTTTATGGGTATTTTTGAATCCTTTCTAAAGCCAGAGATGTTATCAAATTATACATGGTGACTAAATTTATCTTACTCATGAAAAAGAAAGACACATACATTTTAAATGCATCCCTGAAATTATATATTTCTCCCCCAGGACAGTCACCAAAATTCAACATTTGAAGAGGCATTAGCCGGTGGTAGAGCATTTCTGAACAACTTTATTTTATTTGACCCAACTAACAGAGGACATGAACATGCACACGCATACACATGCTCTCCACACACACACACACACACACACACTCACACTCACACGCAGGGGGAAGGGCTTATACACACAGACACACACTCAGAGCACACAGGTCATTCTGTGAAGCCCACACTTGAGACCAAGGTGTGGGGAGGGGTGTGCAGCTGAGAAATCAGCAGGCCAATAGCACCTGGGCTTGTTGAATGGAAAATGACATGTCACCATTTCCCAGGCCTCTCCCTCCCTTAGAGGTGCCACAGATGAGCTGAACTGTGTTTGCAGTATTTTGTGCCTTTAAAAGAAATTCGATGTTTGGCCTTACATTCAGTCCAAAGCATATGAAAGATTATTAAATACTTAGAGGCTGTATGAAGGTCAGCACGCTAAGTCGAGGAGCCCCAGGGTCACCTCCCAGTCCCAGCTGTACCGCCGCTGAGCTTAGTGACTTCCCAGGAGGAAGAGATCCCTGGAGCCTTGAAAATGTGTGCGCAGGACCCACTGTCAGTTGTCTTCAGCACCCCCACCCCGGTATGGGCTTGTCATTGGAAGCCCTGTTTATAAGGGGGTGGGATTTGGAGTCCCACATCGTGATCAGGAATTGCCAGAAACAGTCCCTAAACCAGCTTGCTCACTGAAAGCAGGCTGACCGCTCACTAATAAGGAGCAGAAACAGGTGTCTTAGAAAATCTCGGAACAACCATAATTTGGAAGCCTCCCGTGATGTGAAGGAAAGGCAGCCACTGGCGTGTCCGTGGTCACGGCTTTTGCCTGCGGCTGGACCTCACCGTTCCTGCTCCCGGCAGAGAAAAGAGCGGCCTTCTCACAGTCGGAAGACCACAGCAAGGCCAGTGGGGCAACAGCCTCACAGGCTGGCTTTCCCAAGTGTTTTGAGGAGGAATATGTTAAGATATGTGCTTTTCAAACACTTTCCTCAGTGACAAAGATTTTTAATATATTTGCTTATAGACTTGCAAAAACTTAAAAAGCCAGGTTCAGTAGGAACGTGGAGGTTTATTGGGTTGGTAAGGGGGAACTTGATGATAAAGTGACCTTTCTTTAAAACTCAGCCAAGGGCTAGGAAAGAGTTAATGAGAGTTAATCGGACGCACTCCAGGGGCCAGGGTGTGTGTGTGTCCATCCCCACCCCCCCCTCCCACACTACCCCAGAGACCTCACTAATGTTTCCTGCAGACCAGAGGCAGATGAGGGAAGGCCCGCTCCCTCTGTTGGGGGGGTGGGCCAGGCCACAGCTGGAGGAATAGCATTTCTCAGTGAATGGAAAGGTAAGAAGCAGGCAGACAGAAGCAGATGGAACACATTGGAGGCCCAAGGCCCGTTGACCTGTTTTCCTTGATCCTCAGAGGGCTTTTCAAATCCTTTCGTTGGTGACAAAGATTTTAAAAGAAGGATAGTTCACACAAGTCCTAACTTCTGGCTTCTGAAAGTCTGGAAGGTTTGGCAGTCCTGAGCTACACATTCCACGTAGCCTAAATTCGCTGAAGCTGGGGAGGCTGCTCCCTAGACAGGCATGGTTCCTCCCCCCATGTTGCTATGTCCCTACCCCCACCTGTTTGTCTTACATGAAGTTCGTGTCCACCCTGGGTCTAGGGCAGCCCTCCTACTTTGCCAAAGCTCTTCAAGGCATTAGCAGGCCTCTGCCATTCCTCTAACACAGTGGTTCTCAACTTCCTAATGCAGTGACCCTATAATACAGTTCCTCATGTTGTGATGACCCCCAACCATAACATTTTCGTTGCTACTTCA